TTAATTATAAACACAGTGGGTTGTGGCGCAAATAGCTTTACCGTTTACTGCACTTGATCCACCTTTTTCTTCAACGTGAAAATAAGCCTATGGGCGAGACTTCCGGTTCATTAGCCGCTATAGGTAAATAACGAGAAGAATAACAACGTGCAGTAAATGGTAAAACTGTTTACACTACAAACCAGTGTGTTCGCAATTAAGATAATACATTAAAATAATATGGTAAGACACACCAATTTTCAATATCAAGCAGCAAAATTAACTGTTTTGTACAGCTAAAAATAGCTGGACGCGGTTGAGACCGAAAGCTTGACCCATAGAATTTACAAATGGCTGCGCCCATTTTTATGGCAAGAAAAAGGTGGATAGTTATGGTATGCACGTGACGTCACGTCAGCTGCAGTGAGTGTGGCTCCGCCCACTGAGTGGCAAAAACACTGAGGGGCAGCATTAGTTTTCAGCGTGAATGCTGCGACAGAACACACAAAACACATCTAAAACGAGAAAGAGCTTTGCGATTGACCGTACAAAGAGATTTGACAAGAAATCTGAGGTATATTTTTACAGACTGCCAAAAGCTACAGAATGTTGCCAAAGTGCAGATCTAGCCTACATATAAAGAGATACTGCTTGTGGGAAGAAACTGTTATTCTTTTTGGGTGGTTTAGTTCAACATATAGAATGTCAGCGTGTGAAACCCGGTTTGTACAAATATGCAGCAAATTACGTCTGTGTTTGTGTGACCACACCTGAAACATAAAACTACACCTGTAGCTGGAGGGGAAACTATCCAGTGTTTTTTGCTGCATGACCAGTCATCTCCACAACACTACATATGTGTATGCAGGCCATTACAAAAGAGATTCTGATGGCACTGGGGCTTTATATTACACTGACATACCTGCTCTTTATTTACATTGAACATTTGTATTTGTGACTTCTCATGAAGCCAAAATGCAAAGCACACTTGTATCTCACATCATATCTATCTATCTATCTATCTATCTATCTATCTATCTATCTATCTATCTATCTATCTATCTATCTATCTATCTATCTATCTATCTATCTATCAACTGACTATCTGATCTAAACATTTGTTTTTTAAAAATTGTGAATGCACACTTTGCAACATAGACGTTTCCTAAATGTGCGTTTAATATTTGACAGAAGTCAAGTCAAGTCACCTTTATTTATATAGCGCTTTTAACAATACAGATTGTGACAAAGCAACTGAACAGCATTAATTAGGAAAATAGTGTCAATAATGCAAAATGACAATAGTAAACACTCATTTTTCAGTTAAAGACAGTTCATCATTGAATTCAGTGATGTCAACATCCAGCTCAGTTTAAATAATATCTTTGCAATTATGTCAACGATAACGCTGGAAATGAAGTTAAAAAAAAATTAAGGTAAGTGGTTGCAATCAATATATTTTAGCTACATCTAAATAAACAAATTTAGTTGACAAACTTTCAATATATATATTTTTTTTATTAAATGTAGCTAAAATAAATTGTTTGAAACCACTTACCTTAAAAAAATGTAGTATAATTTTTTTTCAGTGTAGGTATGACTAGTGAAAGATAGTCATCTGGGTTAGATCTATCAGATAGATAGATCTGTCATCTATCTATCTATCTATCTATCTATCTATCTATCTATCTATCTATCTATCTATCTATCTATCTATCTATCTATCTATCTATCTATCTATCTATCTATCTATCTGTCTGTCAAACCCTAAATTAAGCTTTAGCGTTAGTTCTGGCAGGTCACGTGAGTCAAGCTTGCATCAGCTGATTCTCAGCTGATCACATCTACCTATAGGAATACGACACCTATCGCGGCATTCCTATATAAGCTGTATTCAGTATTATTCAGCAGCTTTTCAGCTTGCTTCGGAGCAAATTACCCTCCTCCATCCCCAGCTCCACCTTTTGCCACAGTCAGGACTTAGCTTTCTGATATTCCTTGCTAATCAGACTCCTTTATCTTGAATAAAGTGTTACACTTAAATATCATTGAGTACATTAATGATATCTGCCTTGTTCTGTTCTGTTAACCCTGGGGGGGTTATTATTGCTGCTCTCCCTGCTCATTCATGACAGGCTGCATGGATGGGCAGGGAGGTTTTTTGCCCAGAACAGAACCATACCGCCAAACCAAACTTTATGCTAAGTATCTATCATTTTGACGATAGTGGTCCTGACAGAACCTTTATTAAATCAGTTAGAGATAATACAAGCCTTTCTGCGACTCTTCATACACCCTTGCAGAGCGAGTTAATCCAGATTCACAGAGCAAACACCTAATGCTTTGTGTTTCAGAAGAATATAAGACAAACATAAACCATTCAAACACTGTTATCTTTTCAATGCTCCTCTAAACTCAACACAGTGTCAGTTTACAAACATTCAAACTTGATCACCTCCCTTCATGTCTACATTCTCTTTTCCAAATAGCACCAAAATTGCCCTTGTTTCCCCAGTTTGAGATGCAAGAATTGCTATTTAATCTCTGTTTAATTTATATGTAATTTCTCTTTTGCATGAAGCCACCGACATTTCTTGTCATTTGCATACTGAGTCACTCTAAATGTGTTTACATTAGATAAAATATCAAAGCAAACATCATGCGCAAACAAACGCTGCTCTTTCTTTTATATAAATACCAATGTGTCCAAATATTTTTTAAAGCCAGTTTCAGATTTTTTTTTTCATGCCTCAACGCTTAATTTCATTGCTGAATATAATTGCTGATTCATTCTATTTGATTGAGGATGTGTTTTATGGGTGTAGAAGATCATCGGCTGAGAAGGATTACAAACGTAAAACACCTTCCTGATTTTAATTACCTCATATGCAAATGTTTTCCTTAGAATCTTTTTAATGCAAAACTTTGTAGATTGCATTATGAAAGATGATTGCTTTAAATTTTTTCAGTTGAAATTTTTTTAATAAAACCCATCACAGATTGTAAATTGAATTTAGCTGACATCTCGGAAGATCTTTCTGATTTTTGTAGACTTTCTGTTTTGTGAAGTGAAGTATAAACACAGGCCATAATTATGATTCCTTCAACTGTCTGGTTCCTCCATCCGTGCTGCATCAATGGGACGATAACTTTCCTATCACCATGGAAAAAAACAAAACAAAACAAAAACATCTACACCATTTTACAGCATAATCAGAAAATTTACACTGAAACTCACATGTTTTAACATGCACTGATCTGATGACTTATGGATTATGCCATTAATTTTTAGAGGAACTTGCATAGATTAATTCAGTGTTCAGTGCATCAGCCACTCAAACACATGAATCTAATTCATAGAGGTCATTTAAGACATATTCAACAAATACAGTGGATACCAAAAAAATATTAATTTTTTTCATTCAGCTTTATTTTTCATTCAGCTCTCATTTCTTGTAGTCTACTGTTTTAATGTGAGCACACAGACTTGTTTATCCACTCTTGGGCGTGGATGAGCAGGTATCTGTGTCACCTGAGGGAGGATCCAAAGTATAAATACAAGCACGAGAACGGCATTTCCACACGGAGAGCAAGACGAGACAAGAGGTAAGACATTCCTCATTTATTAGCTCCGACAGATACCTATCAGCCAATGGTACAAAACCCAAATATCGACATTCATAGTGAAACTGCTGTGCAAGAAACCAAATGCCTGAGACGCTGCATTAACCACCAGGCAACACATTAAAAGGTTAAAAGGAACTGGGATTCCAAACATCAAATTCTAAATGATATTACGATTGAATGTGAAACCAATTTAGGAATAACGGATCTGCTGCTACTGCACCAAAAACAAATTACATCAGGTTCTGCAAGCTGGGTACCCTAAATATTAAACCGAACTTAAGATGCATGCCATCTTTCTATATTAAATGTGCAAGACCTACAAATAACCCAACTGAAGGTGGAGAACTCCAAAAGTGGGAAATGTGCCAAAGCTGATGCTTACAGGTTTAAAACTGGGAGTGCACTTCATTTAGCATTCCTATTCAACTCAAAATCATGCATGTACCAGCGGTCCCCGCCCTGGTCAAGGGGGGGGGGGAGAAAAAAAGGAAAAGCATATTGGGAAACACTTAACACAATGACCTTAAATTCTGTTGGACTGTGCTAGTGGCACAACATTTCACCACCCAACCCCTAAACGTCCAATAACTCAAGAGTGCAATGGTACCCACCCACTTTTCCCAGTGGAGTTAGGTCTAGACTACTCATTTAAAGTTGAAAAATCTTAAGTTTATTGCAGAATATCCAAATAAATATTTGCAATGTGTTCCCTGTAGAGTTTTTGGCACAGCTCAGATTGGTGACATTTACACCATCATGGGTAGTGTAGTTATCCACCAGGAACTCCACTTTGAAACCATTCTTTAAAAACCAGAGTTTGTAGGAGGTCTATCTTTAGGGTTACGTTAGCTCCCCATTAAATTTCTCCCCTTCCAGACCGCTGTACAAATATCAGTTTCCCCACACTGAAAGCATGTTTTCAGGTCAAAACTGGTTGATAATCTACACAAGGAAAAACAAACCAGAAACAAGGGTAGGTTTCTCAAATTTATTGAACACCAGGTAAAGTCTTCCGTCGCTCTCGAACCAAGTGAAGCCTTGCCACTGAACACCTAGAAGGGAAAGAGAGAGGAAAAAAAAAAAAGAGACACTGAACACCCACGTTAAAGGGTTAGTTCACCCAAAAATGAAAATTAGCCCATGTTTTACTCACCCTCAAGGCATCCTAGGTGTGTATGTCTTCTTTCAGACAAATCCAATCGGAGTTATTAAAAAAAATTGTCCTTTCTCTTCCAAGTTTAATAATGGCATGGGCGGGTGTTTTTGTTCAACAGTCCAAAAGAAGTCAAAGCGCATCCATCCATATTAAAACGTTCCTCACACGCCTCCGGGGGGTGAACAAAGGCCTCCTGTAGTGAACTGATGCATTTTTGTAAAAAAAAATAAATACATATTTAAAATGATATAGCATAAGGGACCCAAGTTGGCCTCAAGGCATTACTGCTCACATTGTGAGACCTGCGGTTCAAGGAGGCACCAAATAAATGGTCTTCCAGTTGCAACACTAGAAACAGTGCTGGATAAGCTCACTTACCTTTGATAGTGGCATTGAACACCAACAACAGCACCATCGGCACGAGTAATCGGAGTGCCAGCGAGCGCCTCAGGAGTGTAGGTAAGAGCAAAGCTGTAGACAAGCTCATCCTCAGTCATCTGTAAGAGATTTCAGTTGTTACAAAGTTTCTCCTAATCTACACGGGGGGGGGGGGTTTAGCAGCCATGCCATGCAACCACTTTTGGTTCAAGGAACCACTCGGTGATCAGCTCTTAAAGTCTGCCATTATAAGGAATGGAAAGGTCCCATGGAAATTAAAGGTTCAATGAATAATTGACACCAAAGAACCTTTTTTTTTATATTGGTGTACAAATAATCCAGTAAGATTTAAGTTCTTACCATCAACACACTGTTGCAGTCCTGCAGTTCATGCTCCAAGATGAGCACCCTAGAGTTTGAGTCCTCACCAACAACGGGACATCCTCCCAAAGACAATCCAGATGGCTGGATCAGTTGACCATTGCTAAATAAGTCTTGCTTTACCTCAACCAGAACCCGGTTCTCACCGCATTGAATAGCTACACTACCGGGAGTCACGGGTTGCCTCAACTGGAAGTCCTCCGCCATCTCGCTCGGCACCTCCGGAACAACGGGAAACCTCCAGTCCAAAGGCTTCACTGGACCCTGCAACATCTGCTTCTCCTGAAGACCAAGAGGCTCTTGTGCAAATCTTCTGGAGTCAAGACTCTGAAACGGAGAAGCCTTTTGCAAAGGGTTCCAGAACCCTTGAGAAGAAAGAGCAGGACCTCCAGAAGCTGGATCTAATTGTGGCTTCATGCTGCTTGGACTTTGACCATATCTCAAACTTCCCCATGCATTCTTCAGGTCAAATGCCCCAATCACACCCAGCACTAACAAAGCTTGCAGGACACCCATCCTAAGAAACTCTGACACACTACCTCAGTGCACATCAGTGTTAGCTTGGCTATTTAGTACAGCTTTGAGTTAAGGTGGCTCCTCCCCTTTAAGCTTAATTGGTTAACTTTGATTCTCCTCTGGACCTGTAGAGTTTATGTATTACCAACTGAGAACAGTCAAGATCACAAATCAATAGAAAGCTTGATATGGATCTGAGATTTTAATCTTCATTTGCTCACGATTTTACAATTAAGAAACTCTGACAGTTTGTCCATTATAGAAAGTTAATGCCATCTAAAAAAGTTCATAAAAATTATTAACTAATTATCTCTTTTTAAGAGTTTTTAGTTTAGCATAATCACTATTGTTTAATGGTAATGCCATATACATAAATACAATTTGATGCAACAGTGAATTATACTCATATATATGAGTAGAAAAGAAAATATCAATAAATTATCAAAATGGGAGCGACTAAGCAGCGCAGATGTCATCTCCAATTGGTCAGGTACTAAATGTTATTGTCCCATTTTTAGTCTTCATTGTGTATTTTTAATTTAATTGATGTGTAATTATTGCACTTTAGTGTACTTCTGATTCAATCCCTGTAATGTCTGGAGATTCCACAATGAGAGAGATTCATCAATACATTGCAAAAACATTTTAGATTTATTAAGAAACTATAAATATTTTAGAAATATTAAGTCTCAAAATCTTTTATTGACTGATACTGTTTAAGAAAAATTTAATTCTCTTAATTCTTTGATGCAGAAGCTATGAAAACCCCTTCTAATGCACAACATGAGTCTAAAATGACCCGTATTAATTTCCTATGTTATTTCATACTTCGCTGGGCATTTTTTTGCTTTATCTTTAGAAATCAGTTTATTTCAGCATTTAATATTCCCTGTTCTATAAATTCCATGATCTGTGAATATTCAAAATATCTTTTTACAATGACCAGAAATTAATATTTAAGATTTTCCAAGTTTATTTATAACTACATCAAGTTTACACACAATAATGACCCATCTATGCAAGCATGATAAAACAAAATAATAAAGACATTTTGTTAAAATATTTATTTTAGCAGTTATTTAGACCAACACATTTAACACTTGAAATATGTTTATTTGCCCCTTTGTCACACATAACATACACATCACTGATAACCGATAACACTGAAATTGAACTGTCTGTAGAGCAACTGTAGTGAATTGTAATGAATGTGACCAAATAGATGAAAATAAAACTAACAAAATGAAATCACACAGGTACAGCGCTATCTCAAACTGCCATCTCAGTTCTTACATGCCTCACAAATGACAACTACAGGTTTGTGCTCCTTGCAAACAGGCCGCCCCTGGCTTAGGCAATGAGGGTGGCAACATCCAGCACATTGTAGCACAGCACCACGGGCCACCTCCATGTTCTCTGCTTACATGAGTATGTGCAAACCATTTTTACTCAATCTATTGGCCGGGGTCTGAGTTTGCTCTTAGAGGACTCATCAGACAAGTCTTCAATGTCATCAAATGAGTCTTCTTTATCTAGGAGAGCTGGATTCACACCCACAACTCCAGGCTGACCCTGTGGCACATAGTCTCTAGGTCATCAACATCAGATATTTCAGACTCTGAATCAGGACTAAGAATTGCCTGATCTTCCTCATGCAGCATCTCTACAAACATTTCAGCCGTTAATCTAGAATGTCTGGGATCAACCATACTAACACTGCACATAAAGACTGCACAACAAGCAGTTGATCATGTATATACGGATTATATATTGTCGCTGTCAGACAGAAACCTTGTATGTCCAAAACCATTACCTTTCATTACCTGACAGACATAAAGGGTGACCAATAGCACTGATTTATGACAAAAAATTAAAATGATGAAATGTGGAGATACGAGGTTTCCACCTGACAGCAATGATATACAGTATACTTGTATATAATAACGTATTATTTTGACTTTTATTTTGTTGGCCTAGCTAACATAAGTTAGCTAGAATAGAATATGTCAACAAGTTAGATAATAGTATTGGACATGTTTCTCTGTCTCACTAGCAGTGTTGGGGGTAACTCAAGTAATGCGAGTTACGTAATCAGATTACTTTTTTCAAGTAACTAGTAAAGTAACGCATTACTTTTTTAATATACAAGAAAATATCTGAGTTACTTTTTCAAAAACGTAATGCCAGTTACTTTGTTTTCCCATTTATTGACTGAGAAGTCTCCTGTCCCCATATTGGGAGAAATCGGAAGTGCGGAGGAATTGTGTGCGCTGTGTAAACATGATGCTACTGTAGTTCTAGACTAAATGTGAATGTGCATTAATTCATCCCACTCACAAAAAACAGATTTAGTATTAATCAAAATGAATTAAAACCATGAAATGCAAACTCAGAATATGGCGCAAACCTGCAATAATTAAATATATTAAATAACACAAATGTATCTAATCCCATTTTATTAACCAATGTCTTTGCTGCTGACCTTTGATGATCCAGTTCAACCATACTAATAAGCAAAAATGACTTTAGATAAACTAACAATTGTGCTT